TTACAGAATGATCTCTTTGCCTCAATTGTTATGACTTCTTAAAATGATGTGCTTTGGTGTGGACCTGTTTTCATCTATTGTGCTGGGCACTCACTTGGTGCTTTTTGCCCAGATATTCATATTCTTCAATTCTGGGACATCTTATTGATTTATTTTTTGAATGATTTCTTTCTCTTCATTTTCTCTCTTTTCTCTTTCTGCAACTCCTATTATTTGCATATCAGATTTCCTAGAATGATTCTCTACTTTTCTCCTCTGTTTCCATTGCTCTGTCTTCGCTCTATTTTCTGGGACATTTCTTCAACTGTATTTTCTAAATCTTCTATTGAGTTTATTTTTAAGTCTGTGCTTTCATGTTTAAATTTTAAAGAGCTCCTTTTTTTAGCCGTCCCCTGAGTGTTTTTACCCGAGCATTGTGTTCTTGTTTAATAGATACACCATCTCCTCTTACCTTGCTGAGGTTATTAAGGATCTTTTTTATTTTTAAGTTTCCTTCTCTGTGCATCGCCTCGCCTCCTCTGTATAAGAGTGAGCAGCAGATAGCTGAGAGCCTTGTGTGGTCCTGCTGAGGCTGAGATGTGATCTTCACTATAGATTGCTTTGCTGGGCCATGGCCTTGGGAAACTATCATGTTAGTATCTTTAGGGTTTTCTCTCGGGCTTATCAGATTTCCCAGAAAGACTGAACTTCTGCCTGGAGGACCGTGCTTGGCTGTTGACATTCTGGGAGCCAAGTTGGGGCAGAAGGCTAGGCAGGCTCAACGCATGGATTCACTTTCCAGGATAGTATTTCCAGTGTCAACGGTGTGTGCCTTGTTGCCCTTCAGTCGGAGACTCTATTTTGTCCCATTCAGGGGCTAAACTTGTGGTCATTTGCTGGAATTGGGAAAGAACAGTCACTCAGCTTCTTAGAGTGGGGAAGGAGATCTGGGGTTCTAACCATGTCTTAAATAGACTTTAAACCCATCCTCCTAATTGAGTCCCACCTCCCTACCACATCCAGAGGTAGCCGATGCTGGCAAGTCCTGAGCCTTTGTGGGGTGAGGTGGTGGTGGTGGGTTCTGCTACACAAATCTGGTTACTTCTCAACTTTCCCCATTTCTGGATTAAGATTCAGCTTTTCCAAATTCACTCAGTTACCAATGAACCATCACTTTTCAGCTTCAAATTTTTGTTACTATTGTCTCTTCTTCCATTCTCTTTGACCCTGATGGTTTATGCCATCTTGAAATACCTCTTATTGTCCTTTGAGTCTTGCCTGAGGAAATGGAGGTATGTTCACTTTCCTCTCTTTACCTGGAAGTCCAGGAGTAAGTAGTCCTTGACTTTAAAGAACTAACACTTCATGATATCATATTTAGTTTAAAATATGTGGACCACACATCTTCAATGGAAAATTTAACTTTTTCCAAAAGAAGGCTCTCAAGTGATAGAATTCCATGATGTTTTCCCTTTTAGAAAAAAACAATATGAATGTGACTCTTCTCTAAATCTTTAACCTTGTGCTTCTAAATTACCCAGACAGGCAGAAAATCCCAGCTCTGCCCCTCCCAGGCTCCCACCCTCCCTTAAATCAGAGACTCCTGAGTCCATTTTCTTTAACTTTTAAACAGTAGCCTTTTAATATTTTCCAATAAGCGTTCAACTAGGCAATGTACATATCATGCTTTCCTCATTATTACTGACCCATCAATAAATATACAAAAATCAGAGGAAGGGTGTGCTATGAAAGTTCAAAGTAACAATGGTCATCGTACACATGCGAACAACAGAGGACTCTTCGGAAACTCAAAGTGATTTACAAAAGGCATAGCTATGACACAGAGGGGAGCGAACCATGCTGTCCTTGTTCTCAAGCACATTTTACGCTTCGAGGGAAGTGAGAGGTTTCCTTTCTCACCCCCACTGTACCAGCATTGAATGAACATTGGCTATGAAATTGGCCTTTGGTGCCATGGTCTTGATGTAAAACTTTTTGAGAGGTTTTGCTGGAGAAATCCATTCTGCTGGCTAAAATCTACAAAATATAGTATGAAAGTGTCTTTTGTCCCATTTTATTTTTCACCCAATACAAATATAAAGAAAGCCCTCAGGAGACACAAAAGATTTATGATTACAGAAAAAATTACATCTAAGTCTTAGCTTTGGGGAGCTCTCAGCTTTGTCCTCTTAAGCTTTGCGAAATAATGGAACGCTGGCCCCTTACTAATACGAACAAAGCCCAGCCGAATGACTTAGCTCAGGTCCCCTGGCAAGTCGGGGGGAGGGATGGGGTGTAGCCAAGCTGTGCTTCCAGAGTTAGGCCGGTATGTCAAACGGGGGAGAAGGCGTCCTGGCCCCTGAGCGCCAGGCGACCCTGCAGGTGCAGGGCACCCAGGGTGCCAGCCCCGGGCTCCCGCTAGGCCTATCCTGAGGACACAAAGGTGGGTCCAGATGGAGGACTACCACAGTAATCAAAGGAAAGGTCATCGTTAACTCCAAAATTAAGTAGGAAAACATCCCCTCTCGCAGCCTATTTGTTGGGAATGTCTAGAAGGGGAGGAAAACCATCCCAGCTAAGCAACGGGTGCGACTCCCCAAGGCCCTAGGGAGCAGCCGGGCCGGGTCCCAGGCGGCTGTGGCGTTCGCCTCCCAGGGCCGGGAAGGGCTCGGGAGCTGAAGGCGTTTAGACACCGGTGGCCGTAGCCACGAGTGGACAGATGTCCATTTTCTGTTCTTTCAGCTTGAAAACAAAAAGGAAACCAGACAGCTGAATGCGGAGGCGGCCAGGACTGCGCCCAGGAAAAGAGGAAGAGGAAGGGCCTGTC